AAGTCAGAATTGAACACCCAAACAAACACAATCAAGAGCAGGTACAGACATGACAGGAATATACAGCATTTCTGTGAATGGCACATTTCTGTGATCAGACAGCAAGTACAGCAGGGAGGAAAGTCAAGGAAATGCTACGTAACTCTCAGGCTGAGTATCTAGCGTAATATGCACTATGCAAATTCAATTCATTCAAACAAATGCCTTGTTACACTCAGTGTATCTCATGGGTCTTGTTTTTACTGCTTTAGGAAACAATATTGTACATGCTTTCTTCCTCTTCCTATGCTTTGGATTTGCAACCTATTCTGGGTTTAAAGAGAGTCATGGGATTTTTCTTCCTGTTACTCCCAATAATTAAATACTGTTTATGTACTTAGAATGGAAAGCTTTCAAAATTTTTTTTTCCTCTTATTATCAGATGTTACCTGCTGGATATTTTAGATTTGGTTTTTGGTTTGGGGTTTTTTTTTAATTTTGGGTTTCATGACTTAGTCCTTTCTTTGTGTACAGCCGGTTGCTCCTTCCTAACTTGCATGGCAAGCTTTCCTTTCACTTCTACAATGATTGGTATTTGCTCTTTAGAACTTGTATTTTCTCCCTGTGTTTCTGCCTTCTCTTTGGGCAATACAATCAGTTCTTTCATCCTGTTGATTCATAAGCACCTCTAACTTGGACTCCGTTCCAGACAGATTGAGGTTTTTTTTCCTTTTTGATCTTGTTACTTACATTTTTCTAAACCACTGTTAGCATCTTTACCCCTTCCCATGCCATAGATCATATCTTTGGCTTATTCTACTCTAATTATAAAAGCCAATGTTTCCTTTCTTCTGTTTTCATGTAATCCATTGCCCTGCATCCTCTCCCTTGTTGAGGCTTTAAGTCTTAATTTGAATACTGAAGTGCCCTTCTGTATGATTTTCCCTGGATTCCCAAGGCCTTTTGAAATGCTAAGTCAAGGTAATATTCCAGGCTTACAATTTTCTGCAAGTCTGTTCTGTTAGTTCTAACCCCACTATAGAATTTTCACAGCTTCCTGTTGTGAGAGTTTTCCCAACACTGCTATTTCTCTTCTTTTCTCTCTTATTCTGACATTTCTCACACAAGGTACCTAGCCTATCTGTGATGCAAAACTGCCTTGCTTATTTATCCACAAATCCTTGCGCAGTTTTGTCCCATGTAGCTTCCTCATTAATCTGAGAAGGTAAAAGCATGACTCATGGACATACCATTACGATCTCATATAATTTTTGGATGAATCTTTTGACTTGATTTTCCATTTGTTCTCTGGCTGTTTGGGCTACGAGGGCTCAGCCCATGGCTTTCGCCAGCCTCCAGGGGTACCACTTGTCCAGAGCCCACAGCAGTGTGAATCACATGTATAGCCACAAGGGGTGGGTAGCATCCATTTGTGCACCAAAATGGTTATGTGCTTGTTGCCACTCAGTTCTGCAGTGCCAGGTGCACAGGTTCCATACCTGTGTGGAGCTATTGTCATCCAGATAATTAAGAATAAACATAAATAATTCAGACGCCTTAACAACTCTCTAACCTGCGCACATTTTGCTTAGCTGTCGTTGTACCCTATCCATTTTGGAAAAAAAATCATGTGATGTAAACTGTAGGCAACTCCAGAACTAGTTTTTATTATGCCATTCAGTCATTTAATGGATTTGTATTATCTTTTTCATTTTCATGTGATACAAGAGCATGTAAGTCTATATAGAGATCACAACCCATTTTTCTCCCTGCTGATGTTAAACAGCCAGCTGGAAAACATTGTTTGTTCACTGGGTACGGGGAAACATTTTTAATTGAACTGCTGAACACAGGTGCTTTGGCTGTTCATGCCAATTTATACAACTCTAAGCCTATTTAAACACGTGGGGAAAGGGTTTTGTTGACCCTGGCATAAAGTCAGGACCCTGGCATAAAGTGTGATTGCTCATAAAATGTCTTAAATACTCTGTCCTTCCTAAAAGATCATGCACCCAGAGGCAGACCCAGGGAAATCCAGACCTGGAAAGACAAAATTTCTGAAGCCAGAAGTAGACAAAACCTCTTTATATATAATAATAATAATTTAAAAATTTATATCCTGAAATAACTACTTTAAAATAAATGTTTTATAAGACAAATCACAGAATACCAGTTGAAATCCCCAAATTATTCTCATTCCTCCATTTATGACCTGTTTGGAGGATCATTTCTTTACAATTTTTGAGGATGTAGCAGATCTTTTAAATACATTAAACTTCCTCTCCCCTCCTGACTGTTTTTTTCCACTGAAGCCTCTGGATATTTCTCTCTCAATAATGATACAAATGGATTCAGCCACCCACAGCCTTGTGGTCAGTACTTCAGAGTCATTCTTGTCTTCTATGAATACCTACATGTTAGGACACCTTTCCTATCCTGTTTCCTAATTAATTGCAATTAGAAAGGCACTGTTAAGATTAGCCGAGAAGAGATTATGAAACACGCAAACAGGAGAAAAACAACAGCTGATGCTAGAAGTCAAAAGTTGCAGTGTTGATAGCTGAAGAATCCATGTTAACAGGGGAAAAAATGTTTTGCCTACAGATTATCTGTATGCAAACATCTATCTTGTTTGGCCTTATATATCTCAGCTTGGCTGTGTGACCTAACAGGAGAAGGCTTCATTAGGTCATCTAGTAGTAATGAATATTGGATTTCTCATTAATGGTGACCAAAAATATGCTCAGTCCCATCAACACACATGGGAGTTGCAAATTCTTAGTGCCTTTGAAAGAAAGGGCCATCCCCTTCAAACTGATGAATCCATAAAGTTTGATAGATGAGCTGAGGCCACTAATTCTGTACTGATTACTTTTATATTCATTTCACTAATTAAACAGCATAAATAGCTAGAAATGACTGGGGAAAATTCACACAGGTTGCATTCCCAGACCACAACTTAGCCAATAGACTTTGGCTAAGATTGGGCAGACTTCAGTAGAACATGCACAAATACCACTGCCAACTCTGGGATGAGATCTCAAACAGCAGAGATGAGTGTTCAGCATGCTGTTTGCTGCTTCACCATCAGCCACCAGTCACTCTTCTCCCCAACATGATCTTGACCTAGATTCATGCCACTTCTGTTCACCTCTGTCTCCCCTTCAGAGGTTTATGCTGAAAATTCCTGAATCTCTACGTAAGAGAGGTCCTGGGTGCAGAGATCCAGGCTGGAAACCTTGTGCTCATAGGCAAAACCAGAACATCAAGTCAGAAAGTTTCTTATTATGCAGTGTACACCTCCAATACGTAAATATACAAGGTTCCCCACTCCTTCTGAACAGACTCCTCCTCAGCCTCTCTACCCTCTGCCGAGTGAAATGCAGCAGAAGCAGGACCTGCTCTCAACTGTCCGGCACATCACAGTTCACTAATGTCTGAACAAACCAGGTGCTTTGTGACACTCGCAGACACTCGCAGCCTTCATGACTGACGGCATGTACAAAGGCAGCTACTGTGGAAATCCCCCTATTCCCTGCCCAGAGGTGTTGTCATGTTCACACCAGAGGCATTGCAAATCTAGAAGATGAAATGGTGCTGAGGTCATTTGGAAAATCCTTACCCTCCTACTCAAAGGCAGGATGATAACTAGCTGGCAGAGGGAAGGCCAGGGGTGGGCATGGGGGCATCTTCTGCAGAAGTAGCAGCATGCCAGAAAGACTATCTGTTCTAGAGCAACAGACATGATTAGAGTGAGAATGGTGAGTTCAGTGTTGAGAAGAGCTGAGGAACAGCTTATGTCTGGTTCGTAGAGGGCCTTAAAAGCTTGCAGAAGAGGATTTGTAGAGGCACTTGTTTTATAAAGGTACAGATAAAACAAAGCTGGAAAGAATTCAGATTGTGCATGGCTAGAGGCATAATTACTTGTCTGCATGGTAATCTTATTATTTGTGTTATAAAACCATACAGCAGTTCTGGTTAGCTTTAATTTACCTTTGCTCTGGGTGTTATTACATATTCTCTGGGTACTATTACATATTCTTGTTAGAAGCAGTCCCTTCCCTGAAGAGATGATAGTACTGTTAATATAGCTTTACTGGGTGGGAGGCAATCCTCCAAAAGCATGTCAACAACAAAATGAACACAACAAGCATTTATTCAAATAAAACTGTATAGTTTCACTCTTGAGGTATTCCTAACATCTTTAAGATGCTATTGAAAAATGCTCACAGCAAGAGACTCCTTTTTCTGTGTGAGAACACACAGTCAAAGGGCAGGACTGTGGATGCAGTATAAATTCAGATTTAGACGTCTTGCAATCTACGTTTTAAGTGTCATTTATTCCACTACAATGCATTTAGGTGCCTAGGACACTTCAAAGTATTGTAAATAGTGTAGTTGCTAGCTATTTTTTGCATGTAAATGATTACTAAAATTTTAATTTTACACCAATTTTGACACAGTTTTTTGTATATTTTATGACATGATTAACTGCTGCTATATAGTATACCAGCACTGAAATCAGAGAAGGCAGCAGAAATTAAATAGATGCATAGTGTTCTATTTATACATTTTTCCCACATGCCAAGTGGCAAGATTAATGTCATGCTTCGGTTGTTTTCTGAAGTTTCTGAATTTCTTCTGAATTTCTTCGGTTCCTTTCTCAGCTTTGACCTGCCAGTAGAATTCTGTGTGAATGGCTGTGTCCTTAACTTCCATTATTTTGCTTTGGGGTTTTTTATACAATGAAATGGAATAGCCAATTGCTAGACTGTGGTTGTACAACCCCGCAAAACATCAATGCTTAAATGTCATTAGTTTTGTACCATTTCTCGGACCTGAAACACCTGAGGTGATAAAGGGTCAGCAAAAAGCAAAGAGGGGGTGTTTTGCCATACAAGAATCAGTATTACTTTTAATTTGTACCTTTATGATTTGTTATTCGTACTTTTGCTTTGGCACTCTGAAATTCAGTGAGTCTTTTTCTAGTCAGACAACTTCAAATCCCAGGTTATTTCTACATGTTACATGTTCACATTGTTTGAACAATTTGTTTCTCTGACTACTCCAGGTGGACTCTAACCTTCTGAAAAACAGCTCTTTGGTTTACTTCTGAAAGGCTTTTCTGGTTTCTTTCTTTAACGTTAAAAGATACATCTACAGAGAAATGACACTCCATTTGCAAACTTCTCCTTCCCCCCTGGCACATGTGGGCTTAACCACAGTTACTCATCCTGTTACCTCCTGTGACTTTCCCCACCTTGGCTTGGAAGCAGCTGCTGCAAACATGCTCCAACACTGCATTTCAACAGACCAAGCCAGCAACCTGGGCTGGTGTGGGAATATCACACCTCTTCCAGGAGCAACCTCCCCTTCCCAGGCACTCTGCGCACAACTCAAGTCCTACCTTTGCTCAACAAAGGTCTCAGCTTTTGTGAGACCCCCTGCACTCTACAATCGCACTGTGATCCACAAGGTGACAGCTGGGATTTCTGCCCATTAAAGGCTGCTGCCACTACTCTTGGGGAAGCCAGAATGAGACCAAATGTGCAGCTTACATCAACAGGCAGTGACAGCTTTAAATGCCCTGCACATTTAAGAAGAGTCAGTCATCATAAGAATTAATTAGCTTGGTTCTGCTGGCCAGCTATTGATTTATGTAACAAAAGGAAACTCTCCAGAATAAAAGGATTGAGACATCGGAAGAAACTCGGTATCTGCGCTCTTCCGTTTGCTTACTTCTGCTGTTTGTGTGTGTCTTTTCTTCTTTTTAAACCTAAAATCTCAAGTCCAAATAAGCTTTCAACATAGAATACAAAGTCCCAAACCTAGTCAGGACAAAAGGTCAAAAATTAAGAAAAAAATCAAAAGTGAAACTTCGGAAATTCCAATGTCGTGATGAGTTTTGGCTTGATTTTGACCATAGACCTACTCTCAATAATATTTAACATCTAAATGATCAACCATAGACTTAATTCTCAATGATCTTTAAATGAAAATTCCTTCTTGAACTAAGCTTAGATTTGTTATTTTTTTTTAAACTGTCAACTAAAAGGAAAACTGAATTGTTTTGACTTGAAAAATTTTCTTATAAGTAACTTTTCCTTTATGAAAAGCTTTGGTTAGAATGTATGGTATCTTTTTGATGGAAGAGCAAAAACCATCAATCAGATTGCTTTACTGAAAATAGACACAGTGTAAACTTTCATGCTCCCTAAGTAGTTTGAGACACCTTCTGACAGAAGTCTTTACTCCTGATGAATAAGTGGGGCTTTTACTCTGTCAAAGTGACTCAGAGTAACATTCCTGCCATGGTCATACAGAAAGCATGGTATGAACCATTTTGTTCTCAATATTGGTGTCACTTACTCAGAAGTATTACAGAAAATCCTTACCAAGACAGCAGGAGGAAACAGAGATTAAAATGTTAACTTTGAAAGCTCTCAGGATGTCAGTCTGAAGAATTCCCGTGGGGTTTAGTTTTTGTATAAAACTTCATGTAAGCAACAGTCAGTGGAATATACATATAGAACTGCATCCTAGGACATGTTTATCTTTTTATGTGCTCTTTTATGAAAAACCAGAGATATACACTGTAAAGCTCTTATCTGCTTGTTTCTCAGTTATAGTTATACAGCCCTGTGTCACTGAGGACATGTCACACAATTCATGATGAATGAGATGGAGAAAGGTTAGGTAAACATTTCTATTTATTACAATAACCTTGAATTGCATTGAACTGACTGACAGATTAAATAATAAAATGTACTCACCTTTGTCCTCTATCGCATCAAATTACAGACTACAGACTACTTTTAAACCTCCAGCCAATATTTCCTGGAGAAATTTCTTTCACACATCTGCACATGAGCATGGCCACAAAGCAATGGTTAGCAGAGCTCTTTGCTGTGCTGCCAGCAGCACCAGTGCCTTGCACAGATACAGGCTCTGGAATGGAAGTGGGGCAATATCTGTGGCTGACTTTCTCCATCCTGCTGCTGAGGGAAAGCCAGATCGCTTGGGGATAAGATTGCTGAAGCAGGATGCACAACAGAGTCTCAGTGAGACAAGGGGAATTCCCTGCACAAGGCCACCTCGCTCTTTGTGCCAATTACCCATCACAGGCCTACCCTCAAGGCACTGCTGCCCCTCTTAGTCCATTTGCTCACACCAAAAGCAGGGGAGCAAGGTGCTCGCAGTAGGCATGCTGTGTGGGCAGAGGACTGCTGCTAAACACCATACAGGGGCTTGGGGATTACAGGATCAGGTGGCTACTTGAGTATGCTGATAGTATGCTGATGTTTATTTCTTTTTCTCAGAAGCTGGAGCTTCTTTCCTTTTGTCGTGTGCTATGGAGTAGAAGAGGGGAAGGACGTTGGAGAACTTGCTGTTTAATCTGAAGGTGTTTATTGGGTTTCCTGCAGTGAAGGGACATGCAGTTTATCTTCTGTTGTAGCTTCTCTCTGTTCTCTGGCCTTCATGCTGTGTACGTGGGAGAGGACAGAGGGAGATAGAAATAATTCTCTCTTCAGCTATTTATCTATAAAATCTCATCTGCTCTTCAGAAGAGGTAATTGGTCCGGTCAAGCAGAGGCACACTACCATCCGTATACACAGACTTCTCTTGCCTTCTTTCTTTTGCATCTGTAGCATTAACTTCTAGCTACAGGAGAGAAAATAGAAAAGCAAACAGGCTGAGTAAAAGTCTATGAGAAAGTGCAAAAGCCTTTTAAAAAATTGAATTAAAAATTCCACTCCCTTCTCTTTTAGATGAAACAATTCAGAAGGGTTACTCTAGCTCTTCTTTTACCATTAAAATTAAATAATATAAGCAATCCCCCATAAAATAGGTTGAGAGTCCTTTGCCTGATATCAGGAGAACCACTGAAACTCCTGATAAACAAGTATCTGTTTTCACTGAGTCTCTTGTTCAGGCTCACTAGGAAGTAAAATTTCCCCTTACACAGGATGAAATAAGGAAATCATCAGTTACCTTAGCAACCCTTAAAAAAACAACCATGTGCACCTATCCAAAGGGCAACTAATTTAATTATAAATTATTGTAAAGGTTATGTGAACGACAGTAGCAAGGGGAAGCTATGATTCATTATTTTAGTCTATGGGAAACAGTACTGCCATTGTGTTCCTGCATGGGCTATTCTGCTGCCTTCTGTGAACTATCTGCCAAGGGCTCCTATTTATCCCCCAGGACTGACCAAAACGCATGCACCCAAAAACCTGGCCAAGGCTGCTGGGAGTCCAATGCTTTACCTCTGCTGGCTTGCAAGTTTCTCACAGTGTAGCAGCTGGAGCCCAAAGCAAGAATTTGCTTATTCAGTTCTGTATGTTGCTCCTGGCATAAAACCTTTAAAAAATGTTTAAAATCCCTCCACTGAAGCACTGCTTAGGGCTGCCTCCCCTTGAAATCACTGTTTGAATTTGAATAGCTGCAGAGGTGAAGGGCAGCAATGTATATTTATACCACAGCTACCATTTGATACCACTTAATTTACAGTGTGGTTTCACCTAGCATTTCATTACATGTTGGACATGCGGAACCAAAGAAGGAGTCCTGTACCCCAGCACTATTCTGAAAACACCATATACTGTTTATGGGCAGTTTTACCCTCTATTTACCCCACAGTCAGTGTGAGCACTTTGGAGGCTGTCTCCTGGAGCAGAAGAGGTCTCACCAAAGACTGCAGCTTTCAGCTTTGTTACATGTTTTACCAGCAAGATATAGGCTTCACATGTGCCTCTGGCTAAGCTGTGGAGAGCAGACATGGTGAAGTATTGGGATGGGTGGCACAGGGAAGGATGCCAGGTTTCACATATGAGCCCTCTGTCAGGAGAAGCAATCTGTTCCCTTCGGCAGGAACACGGTTTAAAATAGGTGAAGCAGAAGTTTAGCTTCATTGTTTCCTAAACATGATCCTTACTTAACAGGAAGAAACACATAAACTTACAGGTTGCATCTTCCTTAATCTGTTTCCTGTACTCCTGAATTAATGCAGAAAGTCCTTTCCTTGCCAGGTTGATTTAAACAACTAAGAGTCGCTGTGGAGGAGCTGGACATCTTCACCTAGTTTTTCTGCCTGCCCTTCCTGAAGTCATGAATGCGAACTGTAATACTAGTAGAGGGGTGGTGGGCATGCATAATGACTTTTATTCTCCTGGAACACCACAGGTTGTGCAAACCACCCCCGGTTTCCAAGGTGCCTGCCATTCCCTAAATCAGGCAGCTGCTGTGCCCACCACTTAGCCTCGGGACCTCCCCAGAGTGCCCCATGCTGTTGAGCATGGGAAGGACCCCAGCCAGGTCCCAGTGGGATGCTGGGTGTACTCTCCAACCTCCACTCAACCTGCTTTAGGAGAAAATCCCAGAGGGTCTAAGAGACCCTTACTTTCCTATGTCTAGATGCCTCCAGCTGTGTGCCAGCTGTGTGTTTTCTCTGTTGAGTGTCACTTGGAGTCTGCCACCCTATTGTCCTTGGCATGTATGTCACCGAATGCCAAACTTGCTGCAGGAGACACTTTCTGAGCTCTTTCCTGTTCTGTGAAATCCATGGCATCCCACCAGGTTTGAGGCATTGCACCAGTACAGCCAGGCACACACCCTGGTTAGAAGCCAGGAGAACATCTGTTGAGATAGAGAAGTTGAAAGGGTATCATTCCCTTGCCTTCATATAGGAGTGAGCTGATTTTGCCTGAGCAAAATGAAGGCAAAAAGCATGTTGCACTGATGGAGTAGGATTTTGCATTGATTTTCACAAGCCTGTTATGAACATCAAGGTGTCATCCCTGAAAATGCAGTTCAGAGGAAGCAAAATAAACAAGACATAAAGGCAGTATGCTTGTTTCTAGGGAAAGGCAAAAGAGTCTTAGTAAGAGCCTAAAAAGGGAACCTGAGATGGGAAAGATGCAGTAATTTTCTGCATTTTCCACGATTTTTTGCATTTAGCAAGTAATTTTTTGCATTTCCGCAAAACTGAAAGTTTCAGGGGCTTGGGGACTGCTTCATTCTGTCATCTCCCACTCGTTGAAACCTATCTGTGACACCTTCTCCCTCCTCTGGGTTTCCTTAGATCCCCCCGCGAGAGACAAAAAGAACACACTCCTCCTAAAGCAGCCTCCCAAATTCAGTGTAAAAGAAAGTGGCATACTCCTCTTCTAGCAGCACAAGTGAGGATCAAAGGATCCCATTGCGAACACTGCATGTCTAGTTTCTGCAAGCAGAGGATCAGCCTTGCTAAACCAAGATATCTATTATCCAACATTACAGACGGAAAGCGGAGGTATGGGGGAGTTGCAAGGTCACACAGGAAATGTGCAGCTCAGCTGGAAATAAAAGCATGGGTCTCCTGACTACTGTGACCAGCAAGCTCTTTCCTTTTTGCTATAACAAAGGCTACCCTGCAAAATCTTTCATTTCTCTGACAGGAGTGTTTTGCTTTCAGAAATCTAAATTACATTATTTTTATTGTTGTTGTTATCATCCTTACCATTATTATTACTGTAATTATTATGCCTTTTTACAAGAGCTGTTCAGTAAGTGTTCAAAAAGAAAAATCTCAGCTGTATCATTTTGTCTTTGCCTTAATATTCTCTGCAAAGAAAAAGTTGTCAAATATTCACTGGAGGTATATTTCAGTATTTCTCAGTTATACTTCAGACAACTAGATCTCTAATTTTTTCAAACTGTTTTAACTGTGCTGTGATGTCTCAGTATTAGCAGTAATTTAGCTGGTAGCCAGCAGGAGGAGAAACAGACCAATGTGTGATCTTCCACTTGCAAAATATAGCTAAAACCTTTTTTTATGGAAAGATGAAATTAATGGGAGCTTGAGTTGGGAAGGGGACATGGAATTGCCCTCTCCAGCAGTTTTTAAGTGGAATGCTGCTTGAACTTCAAGGCTCTGCTTTTATCTCCACCGCTCTTCTAAAGTGCAACATGACCTGGCCTGCCTTTAGATTTGTTAGGGTGCACACACATCCTCCACTCCAGATTTGCAAAGTGCATGTTAAGGAGCAAATACATGCAAGTACTGTTACAGCTGTCCACGCAAGGTTTACTCTTGCTCTTGGACCCACTTGGCTGCTCTGCAGTGCTGCAATGCTTCTGATGGTATGCCCTAATTCCCGGTCTCTCTCAGCCCAAGTGGCATCAGACAAAAGGCCCTGCAAGGAGGAAAGCTGCAGGAAACCACATGCGTTTTCAAATGGTTAGAAGTCGCTCAGGAGCTGGAAGACGGGAGTTTCACTGAGATTGCCACCCTTGTTTTTTGCGTAGGCCGCTGTGATTCAACCATCAAAGCCAGTGGTTGTACAATCTGCGGCTATATAGGAGCATGCAGCAAATTCCTTTAAAAGGGTGCGGCCAGGCAACAGGGATGGAGTTTGCTTTCTTGTCATGTCAGGACTGCATCAGCCAGGGTCAGGTGAAAATCCTGCAGAGGCACAAAAAGCCCTTGCCTTTCCTGGCATCTCACTGTGGGGATGGGGAATCCAGCCAGCCAGTGAGGCGGGGGAGAGAGGCCGCATCCGGAGGGAACCAGCAGTGAGTCAACAGCACCACTCACTTCCATCCAAAGTCCTTCCGAAACCTCAAATCAGCTGTGCATAAAGTACATCCCTTTGCAGAAATGGGATAGATAGACATCCATCTCCCCTTGGCATAGCTTGGTCTTAAAGAAAGGTGTTTCACTTAGGGTTACCAGTTTCCTTCAATGCAGGGTTGTGTTTTGGGGTGGGTTTTCTTTTCAGTTGCTTCACATTAGGATAGCTTTCTGTGGCAAGATAAAAGAATTAAATAGGACAAGGAGATGTTGTATTGTTGTGAAATCTGTCTGGAGAGCTCAGCAAAGGCCATGAAAGCACATCTTGAAACTGCTGCGTAAGATCAAGGTGAGAACAGGCACTAAGCTGAAAAAGCAGATCTTCACTTGTAAATCTAACAATGAAACCTCTCTTCCAAATTGTAATAAAGATGGGTTGCTAGGATGTGGCAGGAAATATATACTTGTTCTCCCACTGCCTTGTCTGAACCACTGACATGCACTTCAAACAAGAGTATTTGCTGCTGAAGAGTATTTATACTAAAATAATTTTGAGACTGATGTGCTTTTATCACTATACTGTAATATGCAGCACTACACTGATATATGACTTTTAAAGACAAGAATAATGGAGTAATGTCATGTGAAAGGAAATGAGAAAAAGCATACACCCTGATCCACATCTAAAGGCTTTGCTGCAAGAAAGACTTGGACTTGCATGTTTACCAGCATTCTTTTCATGTCTGGTTCTGTGCACAGCAATGCCACTGAGCCAGTGCTGAGTACCTCAGTGACCATCGCACAGCACCAGTCCTTAAACTACAGACCCTTTGATACAAGCATGCTGAGAGGCTCAACACGTATCCACAGGGCACAGATACAGCAGGAAAGACGGCATGAGTCATTAATCGCTTAAAAACAAGGAAGAAAGAATACACTCACTAGTATAAATTTTAATATACAGCAGTGGTCACGGCCATCACACAGGAAGACCAAGTTCCAGGTTTGTCTCCAGGAGAGCTTCTGTCCCAGTGCCATTGAAAGGCTGGGGAAGGGGCAAACCCAACTGATCCCTGCTTCATTTCCAGTGAAACCTTGCTTGACGGAGCCACAGAAGAGATCTCTGTATGGGCTGTTGCAATGGCAACTTTTCACTTACTTTGCCTCCAGGCTATTCTCTTCATCATAACCACTTGAGAATCCTTCCTTTCTCTTACAAAGAAAGAGAGATAGTGCCAACCTTACCTAGCTGTAGGCATTTTCCCAAAGCCTCTTCTCTTAGCCAGCCCTTCCCATTCAATCTAAGCAAAGCAGAGTGAAGCTTCATGAAGCTGTTCTATCGTCCTCAGTTATATTACTTTGCTACTCTGGAGACCTCACTTCAGGTTGCTAAAAGGGAGTGGTACGTTCCTCTCGTACAGATGAATTTCAGACAATCTCTAAACATTGATAAGGAAATTATTAATTGTTCCTTCTTACGTAGCTAGTGTATATTCATGGCTTGAAATAGTTATGAGAGACGCGGGTGGAATTCTGAAGTTTGGGATTTTCTGTTCAGCTGGGCAGGTGAACCTGCTTTTCTTAGTAGGCATAATTTATATTAAAAGCAAAAATCCAGCATCACCTTCTGCCCACCTGGCTTCATTCTCAAAAGGTGCTTGATTCTCTAGTCATCTTCATGCAGCACAGATCCTGGTGTCTTCCTACAGGGCAGCACTGCTGTTAGCTGAAGGGAAAACTACTGTTCTAGCAAAAAACATTATCCCAACTGCAGAGCAAGCTTCTGTACCTAAAAGTGTCATTACCTTTATTTGGTCTGATGTATTTAAAGGAGTTCTCATAAAACATTTGTCAAATTTATTGTTACTGGTTGAAACTTACATCAAAGAGTTAATATTTCTCTGAATTTATTCTCCAAAGAAGTTGAGCTTTAGCTGAAGCAATTCACCATTAAAATGGAGTTACAGGATAATTTAGGTTGTCTGCTCCAACTCCCTGCTTGAAAAAGGTCCAGTTAGATCAGGTTGCTCCAGGACTTTGGCCGTTTGAGGTTTGAATATCTCCAACCACTACCCTGGGCTTTGTTTCAATATTGTTACCATCCTCACGTGACAGAAGTTTTTCCTAGTGCCTAATGGGGATTTCCTATATTCCAGCATGTGCCTATTACCTCTCATCCTGTTGCTTTGCATCTCTGAGCAGAGAATGGCTTTCTCTTCTCTATACCCTCCCACCAGGCAGTTGCAACAGCAGTGAATACTTCCCTTCCTCAACCCATTGCCCTCCACCTTGCCCTCCTTGTGCTCCAATTCCAGCCATCAGAGGGACCCTCCACTGAGCTTACTCCTACATGTCAGCACTTGTCCTCTGCTGGGAGCCCAAACCAGGGAACAGTACACCAGTGTGGTCTCACAAGTGCTGAGCATCTGTGAAGGATTCCTTCCCCGTGCTGGTGCAGCCCTGGGTGTGGGGACTGCTTTGCTGCATGAACGCACTCCCGTCTTCTGACCGTGTTGTGTCCACCAGGATCTTCTGATATTGTGCTAAGATCAGCAGAGCTGCTCCCAGCTGGTTGGCCCCAGCCTCTCCTACTACAGGGCTTTGTCCATCCAAGAGGCCCAGCATTGTACTGGGCTCTGGTCAACAGATTCTGTGAGATACCTGTCAACCAATTTCTCCAGCCTGTCCTGTTGGAACAGTAGCCCTGCATTCCAAAATTCAACATGACCCCAGGTTAGTGTCATCTTCAAACCCTGCAAGAGTGCTGTCCAACCCATCATCCACATCATTAATGAACGCATTAAACTGTAGCAGTTCCCTTGCCATACCACTCCTAACTGGCCACGAGCTGGACCTCATGCAGCCATCACCAACCTTTGAACTTAGCAGTCCAGACAGTTTTCTCTCCATTTATTTGTCTATATAGCCCGCCTATATCTCACTGGTTTGGCTTTGAGGAGTTTACAGGAAATCATGGCAAAGTCATGCAAGCACCTTCCAAAAGTCAAAGTGCAGAGCATGTGCTGCCCTCCTTTTTTCACACAGCCACTCATGTCACGATAGAAAACAGTCAAGTTGGTTGGGCAGAATTTGTCTATGGTGTGTTCTTGTCCTTTTCATGGCTGGAAGTGGCTTCCAGGAGGATTTTTGCCAGCACTTTTCCAGGGACCCAGCTGTGGCTAACCAGCCTGCAGAGCCCTGAATCTTCTTTCTTGCCCTTCTTGAGACTGCATGCAACATTTGCCTTTCTGTCGCCATCAGGAATCAAAGTAATCAAAGGTGATGTAGTTGGTTGAGCTGAAGATGCTAAAGAGCAAGGCTTGCAATGACATTGTCCAGCTCTTTCCACACCCTTGAGTGAATCACATCTGGTCCCATGGACTTGCGTGTTGCTAGCTGGCTTAATGTTTCACTCCCGTGAACGGTGCTAGTATGCTTATGGGAATGAGAGGCCAGATGACAAATATTTCCAGTGAGAAGTGAGCCTAATCCTCTGGGTGCAATAACGTATAATGGAATATTTAACCTGAAATGCTTATGATTTGGTCAAGTAACTGGTAAGCAAACTCCTCTAATGGGAGCTGAACGACTGAATAGGGTTAAAGCATCAGTGTACACAAGAGATGCTTTTTTCTTCTGAGGATTACTCAAACTAGAGATTTTGCAGGAATGTGGCTGAGGTAAGGCCTCTTGGAGTCACTTAATTTGGTGATAGCAATGTGATCTATGTATACACTGTTGGATTTACCACTTCCCCTGACAGGCCCCTATGAAAGAAATAATGAGCTTGACTTGTGAAGTTCCTTTTTTTTTTTTTTTGAAGTTGGTAGGAAGGCATCTTACTGAGTCTGGAGAAGAAAAATACATTATGCATAATATAATGTGATCCTTATCTGTTGAGATATCTTCTATTTTAGAGTACTGAAGTTTGAAAGACTAGCAAAGGCAAAATCTTGGTGCCTTGGCACATGTTGTTCCTAAATACTTGTGTTGGAAGCACATGAGTCCCAAGAGCACACATGTCTAACTATATTTTAACAGTAGGACAGATGGACAGATCAATAAAACAAGCCAGAGAGTTGTAGTCTATGGGGCGAAGTCTAGTTGGAGGCCTGTATCTAGTGGAGTGCCTCAAGGGTCGGTACTGGGACCAGTATTATTTAATATATTCATCAATGATTTAGATGAGGGAATTGAGTGTACTATCAGCAAGTTTGCTGATGACACTAAGCTGGGAGGAGTGGCCGACACGCCAGAAGGCTGTGCTGCCATCCAGAGAGACCTGGACAGGCTGGAGAGTTGGGCGGGGAATAATTTGATGAAATATAACAAGGGAAAGTGTAGAGTCCTGCATCTGGGCAGGAACAACCCCAGGTTCCAGTATAGACTGGGGAACAACCTGTTAGAGAGCAGCGTAGGGGAGAGGGACCTGGGGGTCCTGGTGGACGACAGGGTGACCATGAGCCGACACTGTGCCCTTGTGGCCAAGAAGGCCAATGGCATCCTGGGTTGTATTAGAAGGGGGGTGGTTAGTAGGTCGAGAGAGGTTCTGCTTCCCCTGTACTCAGCCCTGGTGAGACCTCATCTGGAATATTGTGTCCAGTTCTGGGCCCCTCAGTTTAAGAAGGACAGGGACCTGCTGGAGAGAGTCCAGCGCAGGGCAACTAAGATGATTAAGGGAGTGGAGCATCTCCCTTATGAGGAAAGACTGAGGGAGCTGGGTCTCTATAGTTTGGAGAAGAGGAGATTGAGGGGTGACCTTATTAGTGTATATAAATATATAAAGGGGGAGTGTCACGAGGATGGAGCCAGGCTCTTCTCAGTGGCAAACAATGATAGGACAAGGGGAAATGGGTGCAAACTGGAACACAAGAGGTTCCACTTAAACTTGAGAAGAAACTTCTTCTCAGTGAGGGTGACGGAACACTGGAACAGGCTGCCCAGGGAGGTTGTGGAGTCTCCTTCTCTGGAGACATTCAAAACCCGCCTGTACACGTTCCTGTGTAACCTTATCTAGGTGTTCCTGCTCCGGCAGGGGGATTGGACTAGATGATCTTTTGAGGTCCCTTCCAATCTCTAACATACTGTGATACTGTGATACTGTGATATGAGTCACACCTAAATAATTGTCTATTCTTTAACTCAGCTAAGGACATCTTGAACACTGAAAATTCCTGTGGTGTTCTGATTTCTTTTGTGTTATCAAGCCAAGATTTTAAAAACCTTATTTTATTTTTAGAATAAGATGTGCTATGGGTGAGACTGATGACTTGCTATTCCAGTCAACAAAACAGAAACAGAAGTTAAATTTCTTTTTACAAATGCTGCATACATTCCTGAAATTTTCCTCTTCTAACCACAGTGTTTTATTTGGCAACTAAGAAGTATGAAAAGAATGCTTATAAAGCCATTGCTTATCAATCAGGAAGTCAGTGTATCTAATTAAATTTCTTTAATAGGTACCCTAAATTCTAAAGCTAGAAGACTATCAAATATTGCCAGTAGTTTACAAGGTGAACAAAACTGTACAAATAGTGCCAGAAAACTTTATAGTAACATTAGTCACTAAAAAGGAGTAATTTCAATAGATCAAGTGTAAACAATAACAACAGCAACAATAATAACAATAATAGTACAGCCTTCATTTGGAGAAGAGGGGCATTTTTGTCACAAAAATTGCTGTGAAATGAAACTGAATTCTTCTCAGATTTGAGTACATTTCTGTTTTCATACCACATAAGACCAATGCAACCTGATTTGTTTATCCTCAGACTATCCATCAAAATGAGGATATAGTATGGTCTCCACCTTTTGGGTATGAGAAAGAAGAATTTTACAAGGATATCTAAAGCAAAGTGCAGAACTGAGTCCAAGTCTTATAACTCCCAGAACAGTGCTTAAATGATCCTTCCCAAACAAACAAGAGGAGACACACTCCTGGAAGGAGGTTGATTTTAAAATTAATGGGAACATTGCATGCCTAGGAGAAAGTGAGGCTTATCTGTGTTTTATAACACCATCCTGTACATTTGATTATATTTTTTTCTCACAGAGCTGAGGCACAAATCACTGGCAAACTAAATGCAGATTCAGTAGCCAAAAGCTCCTGAATTACTGAGTTGCTCTACCCTAACTCTCCACTTGGTTTTTATCAAACACTTTTACAGTCCTATGCAAAACTCATTTAAGTCGTCAAGCTTAAATCACACTGAATTTTTGCACCATACATTTAGATATAAGGCTTGTTCCCTTAGCTCATCTAACGTGTCTTACTTGTCTCCACTAACATGCCTCACAGATCAAAGCTACAAATGGGTTTCTCTATATAAATAAGAGCAGGCAAAATCCAGTTCTGCAGAG